CTGCAGATATAACATTTTTCATGGACATGCTCGTGCATGATCTCGAAAAGTTTTTAAGATGGATTCATTGAGTCATTGGGCACAATGCTGAAAAGTATGAAACTATTCAACAAACTATGGTGTAAGGGGTTAAAAGAGTGCGTCTCCATGATGTTTTTTGGAAGTACACCAGTCGCAATCAGTCGAGAGTGTAGCGAGTCTGCTTGACGAGCGTTACTTGTATATATATCTTAAATACAATTTGTTTGGAATAAATCACAAAAGCAAGAAATGTTAGTTTTTGATCACACAAGATATTCTAAGATCAATCATAGTTTTAAAAGAATCGTTTTTTGCCAATAAACTTGATAGGAAAAGGTTAATCTTAATAGTTTTGATAATGTTCAACAGAACAATTAGTGTACTCAATAGTGAATATTTCTTTAGGAAGTGTTTCATGTATATTTGTCTGATACGAAAATAAAAAGAATACATTTATAAAGATATTTCTCATCAAAATTATCTACTTCAATATATGAGACTTTTCCAATAATAAAAAAGCATTTAAATTTAACAAAATATTGAATTTAGAATAACAATAAAAAAAATACATTTTATAATCACATACAAATATTCCTAGAAATAAAATTCGAGGTATCAAATTTTTCTAGCAAAACAAATAAAGTGTTCATAATCAAAACTTGATCTATAAGAAGATTCTCTTCCAAGTATTTGATGACTATTATCGATTTAAACAACTTAATTCATTATGATGACAAAGGTTATCGATTCAATTCAATATCTAACAACTTATAATGGTATGAAATTCTTCACAATGAGTTTTAATGAAGTTTCAAATTATATTCATTTTTTTGTATTTAAATATTGGTTGATAAGATGACAGAAACAGTCTTTTCACATTCATATATCAAGGATTTTTTAAAAATTGTGCATCATTAAAACCGCATCAATTTTGAGTAAAATAGTGTTAATAAACAAAATATTTTATTTCATGCAAACAAATATTCTCTTCGATATATTGAGAATAAATAAAAGAAGATACATTTGATTTATCCTTTAGACGTTCGTCACTCTATATTATGCACTGTTTTCTCTCACTTTCGCTTTCGGACAAGAAAAAAAAACTCGATTTTAAACGAACTGATACTATTTTCTTTCGATAACGGAAATATAATATTTTAAAGATATCTAGTTAGAAATGAAAAGATATGCAGAAAATAACTGTTTGAATATGTTGATTGAAAACTAAAGTTCATTTTATTTAGCAAAAAAAAAAATAATAAATAAGCTTTAAGTAAAATTGTCATTTTATGGATCTCTTTTTTTCTTCATTCATAATGTATTAGATATTGTGCATATGCTTGTGTATCATGATAAGTAACATATATATCTTCACCATCAGTCGTTGTATGATAATCGGATGGACAAACTTTCATATTTGCATTACCTAATATTGATTTACCAACAAGAACACGTGCATAAAACATACATCGTTCTCCATGATTCTTTGGAATACTATACACATGACTATTACTTGCACTATATGAGAAATAAACACCACAACCATATTTTGTCCCATTTTCTTCACTTAAACTTCGATTAAAATAATCTTTGATAATACTATCTGCAGCCACAGCAGAACAACCATGATAGAGAAATTTTTCAGTATTCATACCAAGACGTTTTTGGAAATCTTCTCGATGTATAACATATTGTTTATGCCATCGATCATTTCGAATATGTTCTATTCGAATGATTCTTCGATAAGCTCCAGACATTGTTGTATTAAATTCTCGAACAATCGTACGCCATTCTTGTGTATTTTTAGCAACTGGATAACGTAATTGATCAACATTATCAGTATATGACCATGTATTTGGTAACGCATCAATAACCGGAGTAAATCCTTATAAAAAAATATATTTATATAAAGATGAAAAAGTAATTCTTGAATATGTTATAGACAAATCTTACTTTTAGCTTTTTGAAAAGCATAAAATATATTATGAAGTTTAGGACCAATAGTAAATGTAATATTCAATGGATAATTTTCGATCTTCATATGATTTATCATTGTTTGAGCAATAAAATCTGCATCAAAACCATATTGACCACAACCAATTGCAGGAAATGCTACACTTGTATAATTTTCACCACGTACATATTGGACAGCTGTTAATAGAAATTCTTTAAGTGTTTGTTCTGTAAAAACAATCTTTTCATCAGGTGTCCATGGTAAGAAAAGTATTCGATCACATGTTAATTTTGGACATTTAATAGAAATCATACTATCCTTAGGCAGTATGCTTGTAGCTTCTGCATATGCTTTTTGAATACAAGGACCAGCTGCTCGAAGAACAGATTCTCTTAATCCATCTAATGATGAACATACGACAATCACATCCACCTAATAAATGAACAGAAGAAAATAAAAATAAAAATTTTTTCAAAATATTCAATTTACTTGTTGATTGATTAAATAACCTTTGTTTATTTTCAAATTCAAACTTAATGGAGAAGATATGTCGTCTGAGTCTGATAAAAATAGTTTCATAGGCATAAAAAAATGATCCGGTTCTACTTGACACATATATTTCGGTTCCAAACATAAAGCACTAAAAAAAGGACAGATAGAAACAATTATCAATCAACTTGAATACAAATAAGAAAAATATTTTACCAAATTTCATCGTCATCATCATAATCAAAATCATTATCAGTACTACTATCAGTATCATTTGTTGTACAATGACGAGCAGTATGACCAGGTTTGGTACATTTAAGACAGATTTTTTCACTCATGATCTAAAAAAAACATCGTTGTCTTCATTATCTCTTTAATACATGAAATTGCCATTTATAAACCCTTGACCTTGAGATAATACAATTATATACAGAATCATTTCGGAAGAAACGAAAAGATAGTTCTCAATGATATGATTTATGTAAAGATGTCGCTAAAATGCAAAGTAGAGTATATGTTTTGAACTTTAAGTGTTATTTAAAACTATGTTAACATTGAATTATGTTCAAAAATATAAGTACTTAGCATTGTACTTTTTACTGGTACTATAAGTAAAAAGTAAATGAAGCTATTAAAACGTACTTGTACTGTACTAGGTGTACTTGTACTCGTCCAATCTCTGATATCTTTATTAGTATAAATTAAGCAGTACAATTATGCAATCATTCAAAAAAAATCAAACTAAATAAAGATCAATTAATTCGGATGCATTTTTAATACTCACTACTTTGGAATTCGAAGGAATTTCTAGTATCAGTGCTTCTCCCTTCTCTTGCTTAAATCATCTATCTGTCCACCGATTATAAAATGAAAAATTTTATTTTTTTCCTTGATTTATTGAGCTTATGTCGACTTTTATCAATCAAATGAACCATTTTAATATGATGTTATTCATTCTCTGCATCTACTACAAAAAGTTGCATTTGCTGAGAAAAAAAAGAAATAGATACATATACATATAGAATAGAAGAAAGAGAAATATTCAACATGAATGAAACACATTATAACAATGCTGTTAAAAGATCATATCATTTTACAAGAATCAATTTAATCGATACAAACTATACGTCTATTTTATATATCGATGAAATAATAAAGTTATTAATTAAATACTAATTACGATTAGTTAAAGAGAAATTTAAAAAGGATAATACTAATGGGACGAATATGTTTGTAGTTGAGAAAATATATAAAAAATAAGATTTGTTTCACCATTTTATTGCAATTTTTTTCATGATCAATAATCAATTCGATTAGATTACGAATTTTATTTCAAAGTAAAACGTGCATAATACAGAGTTAAATGAAATTATTAAAAAGATAAAACATTTAGTTTATATTTACTAGTAACATGGTTATGTCTAACTGTGTAAATAGTTAGTCAACTGCATACACGTGTGTGTACATGGTCGACTAGCCATATATACGTGTATACATAGACACTTTCTTAAATTTCTATATCAAAAAAATATATAAATAGATATTCATATCATCTATAGACTTCTATTCAAACACATGGCAATGGTAAACAATAAAACACAATGTTTTACATGTCATAGAGAAAACAATATATTTACTTGTAAAGGATGCTCAAAAGAATTTTGTTCTATACATATACCAGAACATCAACAAAGATTAAATGAAGAATTAAATCATATTATTAATGATTATAATCAATTTAAACAAATACTTAATGAACAAAAACAAAATCCAAATAATCATTCCTTAATAAAACAAATTGATCAATGGGAAAGAAATTCACTTGAACAAATTCAACAAAAAGCAAAAGATTGTAGAAAAATTGTGATTGAATCATTACAAACATGTATTAATGGTACTGAAATAAAATTTAATGACTTAAATAAACAAATACAACAATTTCATAAAGAAAATGACTTTAATGAAATTAATTTAAATTATTTAACAAACCAATTAATAGAAATTATAGAACAACTAAATAATCCATCAAATATTTCTATCCAACACGGTTCACAATCATTTATTAATGAGATTTCAGTTATTTCATCAAAAAGTAAGTTTTTAATAATTAGCGAAAAATGAAAATGTTTTAATTTTCTTTTCTACCCTCAAATTAAAAAGATATTTTTTTTCATCTCAGAGAAAAAATCCGATTTTGTCATAGCTATAATAATAATTTGTCATTTGATTTCTTTATTATTTTTATCGAGTATATTCTTAGAAAATAAATTGGTCCTATAGAATTTATGACATTTACACAATAGGAAATAGATCAATGAGATATTATAAAAGATTTTGCCATTAAAGTTCTTTTCAGAACTCAAAGTTTCATTGAAAATCAATCTTTTCTTTTTTCTTCTTCTTCTTGTCATCAAAATCTTTTATTTTCATAATTTTCTAGTATCAAAATTCAGTAAATGGAAACAAACTGCCATTACTGTAGCTGGTGGAAATGGAGAAGGACAAGAATCAAATCAACTCAATCGCCCTGTAGGAATCTTTGTTGATAAAAACAGAAATATTTTCATCGCTGATTGTTATAATGATCGTGTTGTTGAATGGAAATGTAATGAAAAGGAAGGACATATCATTGTAGATGAAAATGGCGAAGGAGATCAATTGAGTTGTCCAACAGATGTAATTGTTGATCAACAAAATCATTCGATCATTATCGCTGATTGTGATAACAGACAAGTAATTCAATGGATGAATCAAAATCAACAAGTTCTCATTGATGATATTGACTGTTCTCGTTTGGCAATAGATAAACATGGATTTCTTTATGTTTCTGTCGGTGAGAATAATGAAGTAAGACGATGGAAAATGGGTGAATACGATGAAGGAATTATAGTGGCAGGTGGAAATGAAGAAGGAGATCAACTCAATCAACTCAATTGTCCATCTTTTATCTTTGTTGATGATGATCAATCGGTTTATATATCAGATCAAAACAATCATCGTGTGATGAAATGGAGAAAAAATGCAAAAGAAGGAACAATTGTAGCTGGAGGAAATGGTCAAGGAAGAAACTTCAATCAATTGTCTCAACCTGAAGGGGTAACTGTTGATCATTTAGGTCAAATCTATGTAGCAGATTGTGAGAATCATCGAATAATGCGTTGGTGTGAAGGAAAAGAAGAAGGTGAAATTCTTGTTGGTGGAAATGGTGAAGAAAATCAATTGAATGGTCCTACAGGTTTATCCTTTGATGATGAAGGAAATCTTTATGTTACTGATTATTTTAATCATCGAATTGTAAAATTTGAAATAATTTTGTAAATGTAATTTCGATTTTAAAAAAAAAACTTTTTAGTTAAACAAAAGATGAAGAAATAAAAATAATAGAAAAAGTTAAGTTACATTGTTGAAAATTAATGAAAATTTGAAGAAAAAGGCGTATTCTGAGAAGAAAACGAAGAAAAATATTTTTGATTTTTGTTCATCAAAACTAAAGAGGCAAGAAATATTTTATGAAAATGAAATTAATGAAAAAAAATTTGATTTAAAATTTGAAAATAAATCAATGAACATTTTCATTGAAATAAAAACAAGAAAAAAGAATTTCGAAAGAAAAATGAACGAAAAATTTGAAATAAAATGAAAAGTACAAATTTATCTTATACAAACAATATCAAGGGAAAAAGGCGATTTATGATTTAGTGATTAAAAATGAGTTAAGGTGATTTATTTGATTTAAATTGATTTTTGTCTAATTGAAATCAGCTTTTCCCCCTCTTTGACAATATCTATTACTCGACATACTGTCAACAATAAAAGAATTCATTTATACGTTAATAATTCTATCACGAATTGAAGTAAACCGACAATCATCGATACTAAATGAAATTAGTATTAAGTGGAACACTATGATATTTTTCTGTAATATAACAACTTTGTATACTAAACAGTTAAAATAGAGTAAAAATAAATATTCGCATTTTGCTTAATTTTTTTTCGTGCTAACAACGAAATAGTTTCCATTATATTCATCTTAAACACGAAGTCTACAATTAACAGAAGTACGACAAAATGAGTATAAGTCTTATGATGAAACTAATTATAAAGAATACGAAGAATGATATTTAATTGTTATGGAACGATAAAAGAATATACTATTGATAATCTTTATTTTTGTATAGAGCGAGACCAATGTATATATATAAATATGATTTTAAAGATATTCAAATAATAAACTTTATTATTAAAGACATCACTAACAGATTATCTTTCTATTATTTTAATTAATAAACTTTAATGAAATATTGTTTACAAAAAAATTATAATTCTCAAGTAAACAAGTCATTTCTAAATATTTATTTAGCCAATAGTTTCTTCAAGTTGAAATAATACTAAATTATTCATATAAGTCGTATATTCAGCTTGACGATTCTGCGTTTCTTCAAGATAAAGTTCATGCCGTTTTTGTGCTAATTGAGATACTTTTAATGAAGTAATCATTGTATTATTCGATGCTAATTGAAGTTGAGTATGACGTGCTTCATCTGTTTGTAATACAGACAGTTTATTAATACCAGCAATTTGATTAATCATATGTTCACTTGATACAGCATAATAAGTTTTAGCCATAACAAATAATAAATGTGCACCACTTTCAATATCTGTAGCACAAGGTATTAAAAGTTCAACAAAAAATTCACGTTCATATTGATTGATTAATAAGTTATCATGCTGAGCTTGTTGTATAAAATCTACAAAGTCATTTACAACTCTCTAAGAACAGATACAATTAGAAATTAGAAATATCGTTAAATATTATTTTTACTTGTTGAGTATTATGTGCTTTAGCAGCTAATGTAGAAAAAAATATAATCATACGTATCCATTGTTCTTTAATTAAACTTATCTGTTCAGTAGCTTTAAGTAGTAATTGAACAACTTCTTCTGTACTCAGTTGACTTAAATCAAGCAAAGCCATACTATTCATAGTTTTAGCCAATTCATTTTGTTCAGCTAATTGAAGAAGAAAATGCTGATTATGAATTTCTTCAGCGCGTTCTAATTCTTTTTTAGCAAGTTCAGCAACTTTCATAGCATTTTCAAATTTTGTATTGTCAACTGTAGGAGCTGGATCAGCACATTTACCGAATATACAGCCAATTGCTTTGATACCATCGACGACCAAACCAATAGCAGAGCTAATTACAGGTAATGGGACCATTCTAGCTGGTATAATAGTAGGTGTTGATGATGCCGAAAGTTCTGCCATAGCTTCAGCATAATTTTTACGAGCAGTTTCTAGAGCAGATTTTGATTGATTATATTGGTTTTTAATAGCTGCAAGATTTTCTTTTAAACGTTCTTGTTCGAGAGTTGCATTTTTTCTTTGTTCTTTCATTCGTTCGATATCTGCTTCATTTGTTGACTGAGTACTTGCACTTAATTCAATAATTTCAGTAAGTAAATCTTGTAATTGATTGAATTGAAGAACTGTTGAATTAGCTATACTCGCACTTTCTGTTGCTAAACGACCTACACTTTCTAGTGTGCGTGGTAACATAGATTTGAGCATAGCATCTGATGCTGAAGTTATTAATTTCAGTGCTGTTTTTACGTGTGTGGGAACTTGTTTAATACTCAATTGAATTCTATCCATTGCAGTGTGTGCGCCCATAAGAGCATTTGTCATTTCAGTAGATACTTGAGCAAGTGTAGCTCGAAATGAATTTGGATATCTGTGAAAAGATAGAATAGTATAAATTCGAAACAGATATTATTTTGTTTAACCTGATGTATCGATAAACGTATCCACTTGGTGCATGAAACGAAAAGTCTTTTTTGCTAGCAATTACCATTAAATTACCCATATATCCAACAACGATCGGTCCAGAAACCATGAGTGTTTCCCATTCTTCATCAATGTCAGTTTGATGTATCAGTTGATTATCACGAAGTGGATCGAAAACACTTGTGTCAACGCGTAATTGAATACCTGTTGAAAGATAGATTTGTGAATAAATAAATATAAAAAAATTCAGCGACTTACCACGTGCTGCAGCATCATTATCATTGAACAGATATCGAACAAATTCGGTATCATTCATTTTTGGAATAGCCATAATATCTTTTTTATTCATATGTGATATGGTTTCAATATAATGATCCAGAAAAGGATCTTCTGATGGATCAATAAATAAAGTATCAGTAGTTGTTTGAAAAGAAACGCATGTTATAAACAGTAGTTTCATGATAAACATACAAAAAAAAGCTGAAAAAAAACAGTCAGATAAATTTTATTCAGAGAACGACTTACTTTGAGCCATCTTTATTAATTATAGTTTGAATAATGCAATTTCACTTTACTGCTCTATTCAGTCAAGTCGCTTCATTTTATAGGCTTAGATTTCCTAGATACAAAACAGCTGTAATAAATAATTATTTTTCCCATCAATTGATACATGGATATTTTTTCGTCGAAAACCAGTCTTATCTAACAATCATCGGTTCGAAGTATGATGAATCAGCAAGCGCTTGATTGATGAGAACAAATCTGTTGATTGTGCATCTGTCGTTGTTTCTTTCTATATATAGAAAGAAACTCAAAATCATTTGTATTCGATACAATATTTCTTCTTTCGAAGAATATTATTGTATAATTCAATCGACGATAAAATGATCAATTGTAAGTATTTTTCTTAAATATAAACTTGTTTTGCATAGGAACTAAATACATGAATCTAAAGTTCATCAATGACTTGACTAATTTTTATTATAGTACCTTTGTTGGTCTGTTTGATGTATGCAATGGCAGGCGATGTGTATGCAACAACACTTGGTCATCCAGTTTTTTTGCCGACAGATAGATCATTGAATCCATTCAGTGATCGTTTTATACAAAGAGTTATTAATATGGACCGTCAGAAGCTCTATAATATTCCACAAATGGATGACAATGAATTTTTACTAGAATTAATGAACAATGATGATACATTAGGTGGTAAGTAGCAGAGAAGGATTCTTTCTTCACAGCATATATTTGTATTGCCTGTAAAGATACAAGATTTATTTCTAAAAATTCTTCTAGGTTCGTTATCTCGTGTTATGGAAGATGATCCATACGAATCGATTTTCGATGATAAACTTGATGATCAACTTACATTACAAGATAATATTGATGGTGAATGGGTATATTTAATGACTGCTGGGCCGTTAACAGTTAATTATATTAGTAATCTTGTTGTTCTTGCAAGTAAACGTGACTTTCCATTGACTCCTCCACCACATTTTACGTTTCAATACATAAAAGATCCAAGTTCTTTTAAAGCGACACTTGACCAAGTAGTACGTTCAATGTATGCTGCTCTAATCGGAGCACATACAGCTATGGATAGTATTCAACTTAATGTTCAAAGAATACCAGGTCATGTTAAAGCAGCGCTTAAATTAGTTCTTGCTGGTTCACCTATGATGATCGAAGTTATGCTTCCAAATGAATTAGATTCTATTGGTAAAATTGCTAATCAAAGTGCCTTACTAGCGAGAAGAACATTTGAAAAATTTTCTTCTGTACAAGAACTTATTGCTGAAGTTATAGAAGCAAATACAAATACTCATTCATCACAAACGAATATTGTTGCTCAAATTCAAGCACAAATCGACAAAGCTAAAGATGAACAACAAATTCTCGACAATAATATTAATTCTATCACAAGTCAATATGATGATGCTCGACGAGAACTGGAAAAAGCTCGCGAAGAATATCAACTAGCCTATAACTCGATTCCGACTGTTCGTGGATGGTTTAAAAAGTTATTTCGTAAAATAATTAATAAAGTCGTAGCAATTGTCACTGCTCCATTACGTATCCTTGGATGTGTCTTAGGATTATGTTACAACAATCAAGCTGCTCTTATCGCAGAAACAGCTAAACAAAATGCTATAGCTAAAGCAAATCATTTACGTCAATTATTACAAGAAGCTGAAAAACGTCATGCTGCTTTCGCTCAACAACAAACAGCTGAACAACAAAAACTCATTGATATAATTAATAAAATTACTACTCTTGATTTAGAGAAACTGAGTGAAAAAGAAATTCTAGATATTCTTCTTGAATCTATCTTACAAATGAATCAAATAAAAGAACAATGGGGACGTTTAATTCAATTCTTTTCCAAATTAACCATTCAAGCCGATAGTACGGAACAGGCAGGGAATAATAACATTTATTTTTTCAAAAAAATCACATGACATATTTTATTTTCTCTTTATCTAGATTATTGTACATGAATTCATCAATGCCATTAAAGACGCACAAGCACATAACGTATTACTTGAACCAAGTGATCGAGAGCTTTTTGTTGATATTCTAAGTATTACATGTCAAGAAATAGAACGAGGTGCTCATTTACTCTATGTTATGTCTAAAACTTATCATGATATTTCTTCTGATTATATGATTGGACAAGCACTTAGTATGCATAAATTACTTCAACTAAAAACGCCCACTGATCAAGCAACTCAATTACGTTTAATCTCTTCAAATACAACTTTAATTTCAACAAAAGTTATGCAATTAGCTCAAGCTCGACAAAATGAGTATAATATACGTAACAAAGCACGTCGTGAAGAATATGAACGATTTTTAGCCCAAGCAGCTGAAGAAGATTTAGAAGGTTCTATTGGTTAAAATTATTTTGAATATTGATAAATAATCAATATGTAGATATATTAGAATTTAAAAAGATTAATAAATCATTTATATATTCTTCTATATCTAGAGAATATTTCTTTATTGGATTGTTTCAATGATTTATTATGTATCATAACTTTATTAGTAAATAATATGTATTTATTTTTTATTTTTCTTTATTCTTCCAGACATCTTAAAAACTTGAACGACTGTTTGACAGTTTTCAAAGCATAATTATGAGTAAGTCTACATTTATTCTCTGTAATTCATAATAAATAAATTTTTAATAAATATTAACAGATATATTAATCACTTTTCTCACGGTTGTGATATTACTAATCAGTAGAATCTACTCTCAATCTACTACTGCAGATTCTCAGTATAAGACTACTGAAGAAATAACTACAGTAACAACCATATCTACGACAACGACAACTACTACAACGTTCGCTCCTGAAGTCGATCATGAATGGGAAGATCTTATACTGGCTGGACCGACAGTAGTCAATTATCTTGGTTTATTTATGGTGCTTGCATCACGTAAAAATCAAACATTAAATGCTTCTGCTGAATTTACGCCTAAACATCTTAGCGTCACTCAACCTTTGCCTGTCATACTTTCTCGAATATCAACAGATATGCAAGCTGCTTTTAAAGTTGCTAGTGATGACCTTATTCGTACTAGAAGTAATATGGATCAAATTCCAGATCATATAAATGCAGGTTTGCTTTTAATCCAAACGGCGCCTAATGCTCTTTTAGAGACACTTTTACCATATACATTAAAAAATGTTAAGCGTGCTGCTAATGAAGGAGCAGCTGTCACTAAACCAACACTTGAACGTTTTATTACGGTTGAAGTAATACTTGAAGAACTTGTGACATTACTTAGTTCCACATCAGCAACAAAAGAAGATGATATCAATTATTTAATGGAAGCAAAAGCCTATGCGAATGATATACAAATGCAATGGAGTCTTTTGGTAAAACTTTTCAAAAAATTCTCACAACGAGCTGATATCACTGAAATAAGAATTGTCGACAGTTTTATTAAACCAACTGAAGTAGCAAGTAATCTTACTACCCCCAATCAACGTCGTACTCATCTTGATAAACTTATTCCAGCTGCAATTGCTATTGATCAATCATCACATCTATTAGATATAATGGCACTTACTTACGCTGAGATATCAAATGAACATATGATAAATCAAATTGCTTCAGATAAGCCTTATCTTACTCTTGCAACGGAATCAGCACGAGCATTAAGTCAACGAGAATTATGGCAAAATACAATAGCACAATCAGTAAAAGTTGCTCGACTTGCTCAAGTACGTCAAAATGAATTTGCTGCAACAAGTTCTGGCCGAAATGAACGATATTCTACTTATTCAAAAGATCCTGTTGCTACTTGAATTAGAATAAACAATACAGAATATAATACATTTTAAAACTTTATGTTTGAACCATCAAAATTAAATCTATAAATGAATAATAAAATTATCCATATTCTAGATAAAATTCGAGTTATTCATCGTTAAAAATGTGGATGTTTTTAAGTAAGTTTAGTAAATAAATTGACGATTGAAATATTAAACATCAACTCTAGCTTTATTCATGTGGCTTATAGTCAATGATCAACAGTTTATCTTGGCTAATTCTTCGACTAAAGATCTTTCTATCGAATCTATGATAAACTACATCAAAGGTAAATCTTACTATTTCGTTCGAAAGAGAATCATTTCCGAATTTGTTTTATCTTATATTAAAATTGTAAGGAATATTCATATTTAGCAATTGCACCGAGAGATCTTGCTGAACAAAAGATTGAAAATGAACATCTAATTGAAGAATGGCAAGACTGGATACTTGGTAATGTCATGAGTATTAATTATTTGAATAGTTTAATGGTATATGCTTCAAAACAAGATTTTGCTTTTACTATACCGGATGGTTATTTAATTCGATATATACAAAATAAAACATCTTTTCATGCAACAGTTTCTCAATTAGCTACAGAGACACATCATGCGTTGAGTGGTGCACGTGAAGATTTGAATCGAGTACATACCGGTTTGAAATGGGTTCCTACACAATTAAAAAAAATGGTTTTATTGATGAAACGAGAATCATTTGATTCACTGTTAATGCTCTTTCCTGATTCATTTAATGAAATAGAAAAAGTAGCAAACGAAAGTCTAGCTGTACTTCGAAAACCAAAAAAATCTTTTGAACAAGTATTAGAACTTATTACGGAAATTGATTATCTATTAACCACGACACAAACAGATCAAATAATTTCTTTACAAGTATCTGATGTTAAAACTCAATGGACATATTTAACTCAAATGATTAGAGAATTATCCGAACTAGCGGAAGTAACACGTAATAATTTTCTATTCAAATTCAACTTTATTTTAGAACGAATTCTTCAACCTGATGTTGGATTTACTGTTGCTTGTCGTGATGTCATTATTTCAATACTTTTACCAACAATAATTGAAATTGATCAAACATCTGATATTCTTGAAACTATCACAGAAGTTTATAATGAAATATCGTCGCGTTATACGGATGAAGAGTCAGGTGGTTATGGACATTTAATTGAATTAAAAAAAGAAGAAGATCGTAAACGATATTTAAATCAATTCCGATATGATTTACTGAAACAAGTTATTGAAATAGCACGACTTGCGTTACAACGACATACAGAATATATTCGACGTGATAATAATCGAAAAGCAAATTATACAAAACTTTTAGCTGAAACTTCACCAGCTAATTTAACAAATCTAATTAGTTGAAAGAAAGAATAAAACGAGAGAGATTAACAATTTGTTTTCTTGTTTTCCTTTTAATTCATTCAATGAAAGAATGTATTATTCTACTTTTGACTAAGAACTATTTGGTCGTTTTAGTATATTAAAATATTAACAAGTTATAATAGGTGTTATTTAGTTCTCATATACTTCGGATTTATATTGCAGTACTATCAATGAGTAAGTATTTATATTTATAATTAATCATTTGTATGTTATCTAACCGAAGATAAAACTATTATGGTCTGGATATTTATTCTATGGCTGCTGAATACATTTATGATAGGGCAGAATATATTGATTTACAAGAAGAATCAATTTTAAATGTAATACAAAGTAAGTTAAGTATGATTTTTCTTTCGTAAATACAATAATATATAAAATTTGATTGTAGAAAGGTTGTTCCTGCGAAATTTAATTGAAGGAACACGCGGTGATCACAACGGGAAAAATCGATTTATGATTTAATGATCTAAAATAAGCTAAAATGATTTTTATGATTTAAGACTCACGTAAATCAAGTTTGACAACATGACTTTACGATGGTATAAGATTATTATTTCCCTAGCAATATGCATGACCCATGTAAAAAAGTTGTGAAAATCATGATTTTTATGAGAAATCGATTCTTTACAAGTATGTAATGGCTTTTAATTGATTATTTCAACTTAACTGATTACCAAGCTATCAAAATCGTGCTATTTAAATCGATTTCTCATCGGATTTCTCATAAAAATCATGATTTTCACAACTTTTTTTTTACATGGGGATTCATACTAAGGGGCAAGAAGCGATTTGTGTGATTTAAATAATTTAATTTTGATTTTCAGATGACTTAATATGATCTAACTGATTTAAAAGCGATTTAAATGATTTAAAGTGATTTTTGATTTAAAATGATTTAAGTTTGAATTTTGTCTGATTCAAATCCGTTTTTTTTCTCCTTGAACAATATTTAACACAAGGGGGAAAAGTGAGACTTCAGGAGTGTGTACTTCATCGGTACTTCACTGATACTTCATCGGTACTTCATCGGTTCTTCACTAGTACTTCACTAGTCTTTGAAGTACAAATGAAATCCCGACTGAAGTAGAAGTGAAGTACAAATGAAGTAACTTGAAGTATCAGTGAAGTAAATTGAAGTACAGTAAAGTACGATACTTCACGGTACTTCAATCGTACTTCAATTTACTTCATCGTACTTCACATGTACTTCACTGTACTTCACTGTATTTCAAAAACATTTTGAAGTAGATGAAGTCTCGCTTTTTCCCCCTTGTTAAAAGATCAAAAATTGCTTGACATAAATAATCATAAAGAATATGATAATTATAAAGTGTAATGTGTAGCTGCAGCTTCTTGAGCAACTATATGGAATATACATACTCGTCATCAAACACATCTTGCATCGATAAATTTGTCATTGTTCTGAATAGACAAGCTAATGAGACGATCGGATGACAGTTGATTGAAGCATATTTCACATATAGCATTTCTAATATATTATCAAAGTCAAAATCCGTTAAATTAAATGTTACGTGATATGGTAAGAAATAACCTTTAATATGTTCTCTCGAGTACATGTAAGTAGAGATTCTGATAGAGATAGTAATGCAACGTATTAAAAGTGGAAAAATTCTCGAACGAGATAAATATAGATACTCATTTTTTTTAAGATAATATTCAATTAATCTCGTTTATCATCTATAAAATATCACGAATGGTTTACTTTTCTTCTGGATACTACACATAGATAAGCATAAAATAAAATTTCAATTTTTTGCACTCATATAAGTTTTGCTCATTTGACCCCCATCTGAAAATCTTTAACTAATAACTGAATCTGAAAAAATCGATCTCGTTCTTACTCGAAACTGTAAGGCACACAAATAGTATTGTTATCTCATTTTATATTCAAGTTTGAGGTAGTAGGTTTGTTACCTTAGTTTTATAAATAATTGGCTAACTAAATTCATTACTTCATGCAATGAACTTGAACTAACAGAAGTATACCACATATAGATATGATTTATTTTCGATCAGATAATTGTAAGTAAAACGTTATTCTCAAAATTTAATCTTGATCAATCAATGCTTTCTTTTTCTAATTATTTTATCGATATGTTTGATGTTAATGAAAACTTCGTTCAATTCAGTTTATTCATAATCAATGTTTGCTATGGCATATGAGATTATTCAAAGTTTTGGTATTAGGTAAACAGAAATGAACTTAATTATTTCATACTAAAAGGACACTTTTATTTAAGTAAAAGTCACAAAATTCATTGAACAATTATAACAGATAGATGAACTATATTTTTCAATATTGTTAAATTTATTTAAACAAATCTAAACGGTGTTATACAAATAGAAAAAAAATGTTGTCTGTGTGCCTTATTATATTACAAATTTCAAAGTTTTGAATGGTGACATTTTGATTTACGCTATAAATGTACTTTCTATATAAAATAAATAGTAATATAAATCAAAAAAAGATTAATTGATTAAATGTTCGCAAGTTATTAATAATATTTTATGTTCAAAAAATTTTTGGAATATAATTTCATCTAAGTTTTAAGCCATGTTCTAACTTTCGACATTGACCATAATATTGATTTACCATATGTGAATTTTTGTGCAAAAAAATCTCGAATTTGTGTGTTCATTTCTGACCAAAATCCTTCATTGTCCATCAGAGTATAACACCATCCTAATAATTGTTCTTCATTTAATGATTTCATTATACCATGAAGCATACTATTAACACCACATTTTGCTTTATAAATACCAGTTCGTGTATTCGAATATGGAATACTATTTACCATTGCTATTAATCCAATCTTACCATAATAAATAATTCCATTTTCTTCATGACGTTCTGTATTATAAACCTATAAGATATAGATTTTATCTTCTTATTGAATATTTAAGTATAGCTTACCTTTAATAAATCATCGAATTCTTGCATGATTTTTATTCGTTTTTCATCAGAATCAATATATTGATTAGTACAAACAAGTGCAACAAATATATTTAAATTTACACATCTATCAATTAACGAGTGAAGAATATCATCTTTTGCAAATGAACCTGGTGATGCACATATTATCATACACATTGGATGTTTTTCTTCGATAATATCAATAATTGAGCTATCCCATGTTGTAATGCCTTTTGTATCCCAAATATTAATTCGAAATATTCCACCTTCTTGTACTATATCACCCGTTTGTTCGTCAGTTTTATTTGGACAATTACCTTCGAGTGAATAACATTTTGTCTCTAATGTAACAGCAGAAGTACCTAATTTAGTTGGTGCCACATCTTTGTTGATAATTGCATTGATTAATGTACTTTTACCAGTTTTTGGTGCACCACAAACAACAAAAGTAAATTCTTGTAATTTACTTTTAGCATGATCAGCAACAAATTGTGGGTTGTCTTGTTCACATCCATGTATACAATTTTGTAAATTTTCAGCAGCAACTCCAAGCACTACATCTGTTGTGACGGATATAGGTCGCAATAGTTCTTGCTTGAATTCATTATTAGCCATGTGATCGTCTGCGTCTACACCTACACATATAATGAAACCATAAAAACAGCGTTTAAACATCGAACTGTTTAGTTCGTTAAAAGTGTTGAATTTGTTGCCAAAGATGCGTTTAAACAATTAACGATCTTTAACGCTAAGATTTGTTGAAACTTTTACTGGCTTAACGAATTGCCAATGATAAATTCAAACATTTTTAACGAACGACGCATTCAAATGTTTGAATGCCAGTTTGGCCTTCTGATTGTATGTATGGGATACAGTGTGTCAAGAATCTTTTCATATAACTATACTATTGATTTAACTGTATCGACTAACTCCTTTCTACGTGATGCATTTCTCGGCGAAATTTTTACCTCAACAAACAAACTTCAAAAATTCTTTTCGACTCAGTTGCAAGCATTTAGCCTTTTCAGTAGTTCCATACTTACACTACATCGTCTCTTTTTTAATTTTTTCGATCTCATAAATTGTTTAAGTTATAGAGTAACTCCTATAGAGATAAATCCTTATGTGTCTCATCAGAACGAAATCGAAGTTGACAGAGTCGCCAGTCAAGGAATTAAAAGCAAAAAAACGAAGTAATGCATACTTTACGAGCTGTCTAATTCGACTTATAAAATAAATGAACATTCAGAAGATTATTCTCATTTCGAAAATAAATAATAATACATCTATTAATTATTAATTTATATCATTTATATACACATTTATATCAATGATAAATGGATTAAAAAAACTTTTCTTTTTTTTCCTAACTTTACAGTAAAGTCTTCATTTGTCACATTTATATAAGTGATAAATAGATTTCAAAAAAACTTTTGTTTTTTTTCTTTTACTAACCTACAGCAAATTGTTCATTTAACACATTTATATAAATGAGAAATCGATAAAAGAAAAATTTCCTGTTTTGCGTTTCCTGACCTACACACTATAAAAAAAATGGATATTTGTTACTATCGGAAACTCTTTTAGGGTTTCCGAACGATTCGGAAACCCTAAAAGAGTTTCGGATAGTAACAAATACCCATTCGTCTTTAGAGTGTAGTGAAGTGTTCACTTATCACATTTATATAAATGAGAAATAGATTTTAAAAAAACCTTTCTTTTTTTCTTTTACTAACCTACAGCAAATTGTTCATTTAACACAATTATACGAACGAGAAATCAATAAAAAAAAACTTTTCTATTTTCCTTTTCCTAACATACAATAGAGTATTCATTTAATACAATTATATGAACGAGAAATCGATAAAATAGTTTTCATAGGTATGAAGTGCGCTGATGAGTTTTTTTTCTTGTTTCATTTACATTATAAGTTAAATTGGGCAAGTTCTCATACACTTATGCTTTAGAAAACGCTTAAAGGAAAAGGTCCTGAATACCATTTTATTAGCGGTCAAAGGAATAGTTTATACAGTAATGATGATATGTCAACATATACTTACATCAACGATTCTTTCCTAGCATGTTGTTTTTTTATCAGTAATATTACTCGTTTGGTAGTTAATAAAGTTCGCTCAATACAACTAAACGAGAGCTAAGCTTCTTAAGAATAGTAAAGCGATGTTGAGTAAAATCATCTTATATTGATCACTGAGCAAGTCAATATAATATCACTTGTTGGGAGTATGTCTATAAAAAGACAATGAATGAAAGATGTATCAGGAGACTGATGTTGTTTAGCACAGCAGTCAGTAGTAGTATTACTGCAGCGGATGATAGAAATAGTTGATTTTTATTCTAATTAAGTATTAACACAGAACAATATTACTTTTATGAAACTTTTGGAACACTAAAACATCGGTGAAAAAAATCCACTAATCACATGTTTAAAGACGCTAGACACGCGCTGAGAGCATCATCGCTATGATTATCATATTTTTCGTTAGACTCTAGCATTACCTATTACTAGAAAAAAGATTTTTCTTCGCTGAAAATCTCTGCATATTGATAATAAATAGCGAACCTAAACTTTTATTTTTCATTAGCCATAGAATATATGCATTCTAAGCATTAGTCATCTACCACTAACTAACGATAAATAGTAATACCGACTATGTATTCGACACTAGCTTATTTGTTTAATCAATAATAATTGTTCTTTCTCTCGTTCAGATATTTTCATTAAGCCAACGTATTATAGGATAAGAAATTAATCGATTATCACTAACTATTAGTATTAACACGTTAGTATTACCATTCATCATTAACTGATAATTAGTGAGTGATAACGCGCATTACACACTTACTACAAAATAGTTATGCAACTTTTTTTATTTTAACCTATTTTTCACGAATGACGCAAAACGAAGAATTGTTGTCAAAACGCATTCTTTCTTATAAAAAAACAAAGAAGAGATGTCTCTAAGTGTTTTTCCTGGTCTACCTAAAAATAAACTGAAAAATAGTTAAAAAGAGAAAAGTCTATATACAAATGCGTTTAAACGCCTTATAACACCAAAAACACTTTTTAAACACTTTTAAATGCCGTTTTCAACGTTTGATGTTTGCTCGGGCGGTCTGGAAGTGAGAAAATGACGATAGAAATCTTGCTTTTTTTAGTAAAAAAATTACAATAAGAAAGAAACACCTACATCGCATATTATTTATTTAAGTCGTCAAAAGAAAACTAAAGACACTTATAACGGTAATTTTGCAAATAAAATTCTTACGTTCTCATCTTTTTCACACACAATGGTAAGTTAAAAATCTTCATAATAACAATTAGTAGTAAAAATTTATAATTAAAAGACTTCTGAAGAATGTACAATCGAAGTACATGTTCGTCGAACAGGTGAATCCATTTTAGTTAAAGTTATTCCAATGGTAACAACTTTTGGTGATATTATTAAGATAATATGTCAAAAAATGAACGAACCAGAACCAAGTCACTTTTATATAACAATGAATTATGCGGAGGAAATGGAGGATCATTTTGTATTTCAACAACAATTTATGAATCAAAGGTTTCAAATGATTATGAGAACAAAATGGCTGTTAGAATTTATTGCTGAACAACAGATGGGAAGACAATATGTAAAATGTGAGTTGTATCAAAATAGTTTATTCTAACGAATCTAGAACAATTATCCTATTCCACTATGTTTAACATCGTAGAACAAGATCTATTCACGATACGTAATTTTATCACTGGGAATAGAAATATTATAAGATATCAGAGACGACAATTTTGTAAGACCTGACTATTCGATTTTTTGACCCGAATAGTTTTCCTTTGATACTGTGCTGTATAAATCTGTCATGCGTTAATTAGCATTCAGAGATATAAAGCAAATTAGTATCAATAGATTGTTCTGAATTTTTGAAATCTTGCAGATAAAAAGTCGTAATAGTATAAAGTAATATCTCATTTACTTATTCTCCTTCGCTATTTGTCTTGACATATGAATTATCTAATGTAAAACCCTGATAAGATTTAAGAAAAAGTCCTCTGTGGGTACAATATGGTGACTGAATATATAAAATTATTACTATGACATGTCAACTATTTATTTTATTACTTGCACGATTGAGTAAATAAACCAACATATATTTTGTTCTATAGTACCATCTGTTCCGGTAGTCACTAACTATGAAATCCCACAAAGAGCAACAACAACAGATGTTTCTATACGAACATCTACCATTTCTCAACATAATCACTCAAAATTAGAAAATGCTGATGAACAGAAGAGAGTAATCTTGGGTGATGTTGTTAGATCAACTATTAAAAGAATACCAAGACAAGATGTACAAAAATATCTTCATAAAGTTCTCAACAAATCTTTTGATATTCTATTAATGGGTTCACCTCGTGTTGGTAAAAGTACATTGATTAATGCTATTCTTAAGAAAAGTATTGCTAAAACTAGTGCTGGAAAAAATGCATGTACATCAGTAATGACTTGTTATGAATATGAAGAATCTTATACATCATCAGCAGATGATAAACCATTGACTTGTTCAATAAGAGTTTGGGATGCACCCGGTATTGAAGATTGGACACAACTAGATATTACGGAACATTTGCAAAGCTTACTTAAAGAAAAAAATCCAATTTGTTTAATCTATTGTGCATCACCAGGTTCCTCTTCAGAAGTTGAACATACCAAAATTATTATTGAACAATGTAAACAACTGGATGTATTTATTGCATTAGTTGTTACTAATATGTATGCTTCCGATGAAGCTGATGTTATTTTAGACACTTTCAGAACTCTTCTTACTCATCATAGTATACAAACTGGAAATGTTGACGATGTCTATTATTATGGTACTGTTGGCCTCTGCGCAGCAGTTAATTCGGTAGAGTATGTATCGCATGGTAAAACAATGAAACCGGCTGGTGTTGATGAATTAATGATAGGTATTATGAATTCATTAAGTGAAGAAAAATTATTACAATGGTGTTTTGCATTAATGGATAATGGCCCATTTTGGATTAGAGCACAAAGTAGAATATGGAAAACATTTAATTCTATGAAGCGTTGGTTTGGTTATTAATAGGGGTGTCATATTACCATTACTTTTTATTACAGTAAGTTGGTAATTGTAATAATATTTTATTACTTTTATTACTTATCATGTAATAACACAACTTACGTTGTTTTTGTTGTTTTAATAGCGCTAGACTATTATTGTTTCTTATTAGCGATATATACTGTAGTTTGTTGAACCTTTATTACAATTATTCTTATTATCTTTCAAATTTTATTATTTTATTACCAGTAATAAGTAACAAAAATCTATTACTTATTAATCTCTTATTATTTTATTACTATTTGTGATATTATGACTTATTATTGGTAATTAGTAGTAGCATTTATTACTTTATTACTCATTACGAAAAAATTTCTTATTATTTTTATTACTTTGCAAAAATTATTGCTAATTACTAGTAATAATAATAACGTTAAAAATTATTACTTATTACCGGTAATGGTAATATGACAGCCCTATCGGTTATTAATTATCAAGCATCTTTTTCTTTTAATAAATTTAATATTTATAATTCGAAGATTTTTTTTTTGTTCTAAAACTCTTGATCAAATAAACAAATACATATATATATAATAATTGATTAGTTTCAAGCATACACCTACAAAGCGATATTTTACATATTATTTTATCATAAAATTCATTAGCTTTCAGATTGTTTCATCCTGTTATTGTTATGATAGTTACTACTGTTTCTTTGTATGTTTTAGTTTTCATAAAACATCAAAACTTTTAGAGAAAATAGAAACTTTCCTAGTCTCATTTGACGATATAAACACTTAAGACTATCTGAATTACAGGGGGTAAACTATATTTTGACTATGATATAGAAGAGCATATAATTTTGTTACTTTCTGTATATCCACTTTGCGAGCAAGCTTTTCTCTATAAATAACTGATAATGAATAGGAATCGAGTTGCAATTAACTCATAGACACTCGAAATGTATTTTTTCCCAGTCGTTCTATTCGGATTAAGTGCTTACTTGATAGTTACTATAAAAAATGTGGTAGGCGCGGATGTCGGTGTACATACACTAAGTGAATCGTCCACATCCTCAAGGTTATCGTAGTTCTCACCAAACTGTAAAACTTTTCGACATTTAAAAATAATTACTATCAGCACACAGAGTTGACTACTAAATCTGTTGACAAACCGATTGAAAGACAAGGAGGAAAAAGCGAGACTTCAGGAGTGTGTACTTCATCGGTACTTCACTGTACTTCATCGGTACTTCATGTTACTTCACTCGTACTTCATTCTACTTCACTTCTACTTCACATTACTTCATTCGTACTTCACTTCTACTTCAC